GGCCGCGCTCCCCGCCCTCCCCGCCGTCCTTCCTCCCCCCTTTTCTTTTCTTTTCCGTTTTTTTAGAGCTCTCCCTTCCCACCCCCTCCTTTTCTCTTTTTAGTAAGGGGGTGGAGGGATCGTGAGAAACCGCGAGGAAGCCGATCTGAGGAGATCCGGACTTCCCCCGTCTTGCCGCTTTCTCCGAAAGGACTGCCCCCCCTCCCGGCGCACTCCCCCCCTCTCCAGACCCTGGCAATTGACATTACTTAAGAGGAGGGGGGTCCCCTCCGGCGGGGGGAGGGCGGAGAAAAGCAAAGCAGAGCGAGACCTGTTTCCCCCCCTTTCGGTGTTTTGATTTTTTTTTTTAAATCTTATTTTTAATTTTTGCGGCGGTTGTCGCGGCTGGAACTAGCGAGCGTTTAGGAGGCAAAGAAGCCCGAGGGAGGAAAAAAGAAAGAAGCCACCTTGATTAGGACTGTCAGGAATAGTGGCTTCAGCCGAAGAAAGGCCTGGGGCACGACTCCCTGTCAACGAGTTCCCTGCATCCGAGATAAAGATTCCAGCTACATGGGCAAACGCTTGGAACAGCAGCCAATGTTCCCTCAGTACACATACTACTATCCCCATTATCTCCAAACCAAGGTATGTGGCGAGCTTCCTGGGGTTGTCCAGCAGTGCCGATCCCAGACCATTCGGCACTTGGGGGGAACGATGGATATAGTTGACTGGTGGAAATTGCAGGCATGCTGGTGCTCTCTCTGTGTGTGTGTCTCTCTCTCTTGTTTGAATTCTGTATCACGAAGGAGTATAACTAACAGCCATACAAGTCAGCCCAGAAGGAAAGAAGGGAGAAAGAAGGTTGGAATGGATTTCCAGGAGAGCGTGCCTTAAAAAGCAGAAGGAATGGGTTCTTTGGCCAAGCTCTTTGCTCAAAGGGGAGGAACTTCCATGTGCCTGAGGTGCACATCCATGCGCCCCTTCCTTGAATAAAATTGGAAATGGCAGTGCCCAGGTGGCACCCTGGCTGTGCCACGGGAGCAACCATCCATCAGCACCGGGTCAGTCAGGCAACTTGGCTGGCTAGGGAGCTTTGGAGTTGATGGGGTGGGGGGAGGAAACGTAACCGGTTCTCATGTTAGAGAAAGCATGGTGGATCCTCCCTGATTTAATCTGACACATATGTGGAAGCCAGCAGGGTCAGGGGAGGGCAAAGAGGTGACCTAATCTAATCCTTGGGAGGTGTGATGGGGGACACATGCCAAGGTGCTTGTTAATGTTCCATTAAATATTGATCTTGGGGTGATTGTACACTGTTATATTTGAAAGGTCTGGAAAAGCCTAGTACTTTTCGTTGGTGTAGGGAAACAAATTGCAACCCACATGGTTTCTTTTTTGTCTTACGGTGTGTATTGCTGTCTTGAAATGGGAAATTGGGCCTTAATCTGCCAGAAACACTGAGTATAATGCATAATAAATCAGTTAAAATGTGCGCTGAAAATATTTTTCTAATGGATGTTGCGCAGTTTGGATAACCCGGATTTCCTGATGAACTTTTCAAAATAAAGCTCCATCATCCTATTCCACCCACAAATCATTTGTTATTACAGCTTTTAAAACAAATATTCAAAGTTGGATCTCAGAAAAGTGGGCTGAAATGTTGTGGGTCTTTTTTCAAAAAGAAAACAAGCTCTCTTCGTTTTTGGTGACCCATCTGAAAGCCATGAAGTGAGATGCATGGTGGGCAGGGGGGTCGGATTGAACGAACGATACTTTTAGATCTGGGTGTGGCAGCTAAGTTCACTTTTTCACTTCAGAAATGACTTTTTCTTTGCTTACCTTCTCTTAATTCAAATGAACTGGTTGTGAAAAGCACCAATAATGTATATGTTTGACACTCAAGAGGACCCCAGCTTCTCTCTCAATAGTGATTTCTTCCTTTCTCTTCATTTCTAACCTGGGTACCATAATCTGTTTTATACACAGTGGTGTGCAAGGTATCTTGATGTGATATTAAACCTTTTAGGCATTTTGAACAGTTGTTTTCACAATTGGGGGGGTGTTTTTTCTTCTCAAGGTCGATTCAAATCACATTTTACCTCTGTGGCCGTTCAATATATATATTGCTGCTGCTTCTCTTTCAGTGGCAGCACCAGACAGCTGTATTATCTATAGCTTTAACTGTTTGAAGGAATGAAGATGAGACACACAGAATTCCTAAAAACTGGCACACCAAGATCATGAAGCAATTTAGGAAGATTTTTTTTTTCCTTTAAGGAACAATAGCTTCAAGTTTGGGATGAGGCACGTTGGACGTTGCATCCCTGTGACTCATGTAGTTTAAACAATGCTAGTCTTCCTTCCTTGGAGCTTCTGATTTTGACTTTGAAAACACGCTTTTGAGAAAACCTATTATTGTGAATGAACTTGAAATGGAAATAGCCTTTTGCATAAGGGTAATGCATACAATGGTAGAATTCTTTTAAAATATGCAAAATTGCATGAGGAGGAGAGATGGCTAAGGGTTTCGACTTTTTTCTTTTTGTAAATGTCCATTAACACAAGCAGGGCCTTTCCAAAGCCGAGATAATAATGTATATTAAATATTACCTTTATAGATGAGTTTTATTTTTACTGCAGTTGATTTAGATGTATTTAACTGTAAATGTATATATACATTGTTAGAATTGTTTAATATGGTTTAATATTAGAACTATAATCCAAAAATCTATAACCAAGTCATCAAGTTCTTCCTTCATATTTAATTATTTTTCTCTCTTACATGCTCATACACAAGACAACATCATGAATATGAAATAAACTTAACACATACATGTATATATCTACATCCACTGTTAAGCCAATTTAAAGTGGTATAGAAAAGCAGCACTTGGTTTTTTAAAGTTAATAGTTTCTGGATCTGGTTAACTTTTACAATTTCTTTTATCGGGCTAATGTTCTGGTCATCAAATAACTGTAAAGGCACTAATTTGTGCCCCAAATATGTACTAATGCATTACATAATTCCATATTTTTATAAGAAGCTTCACAAATAATATCATGGGGACACAACAAATAGAATCAGAGTGTGCACCAATATGAACTCCTGTTTGAAAATCAATAACATACTTCAGTGGCAAGGGAGTTAATAGAAATTACATAGATTTATTACAAATGTTAAAGTGCAACAGATGAATCATAGTATAATTTGTTTCATTGTTTTTATTCAATGTACACTTTCCTTTAAATTTTTCTTTTCTTCCAAGCAACTTTCATGGATCTTTTCTCTTTTGTTTTTAAAGTATGCCATTATGGGGTTTTGCTTTAGGATTTATTACAAAATAAACTTCTGGCTTTTAACTGTAGGCAGAAAAACTATATTATGTAATATAATTACATTTTACTCACTATTATATGATGGGTTGCCTGTAGTACAACCAAGATCTCATATAGAAATGAAATGAATGTGACTGAATTTTGTTTTAGAAATTAAAATATAAATATTAGTTTTGGATAAATGCACTCTAAACAGATACAGAAATTACATTTTTAAAGTTTCTGTTACCTCTTTACCTTTGAAATGCTAATGAAAATGTCAGTGTGATGTGAAACAGTCAGAATATGGTAAATTGAGATTGAAGTTTTATTAACTCTATGGCCAAATCCTTAGTATTGAGACTAGTTATCCCAAACATGAACTGAATTTCAGTCAAATGCATTTTGTAGCCATTGTATAATAATACATTATATGACCTTAGATTGCAAAATTATATTTTAAAAGGACTGAATGGTCCCCATGCAAAAGGAGGATTGGTTACTACATGCTTTGAATTTGTGCTAGAAGTATAAAATTTAAAACTGATTTGTGGATTGTTAATTCAAAAAAATCAACATATTTCGTACTTGTGTTGCTAAACTCTAGCACTAAATAAATAAATAAGTAAATAAAATTATTACTGCTAATCACAAAAGGGATTATTTTTGGAACTTCTCTACCAGCTAATAAAAGAACTTACCTTTTCATATATAGGAAATGATTACATCAGAGGCCATTATTGAAACTAAATTAGTTTCTCAACTGGAAAACAATGTTTTTACCAATGAACCAAATCAGAGGTGATGCTTTAGTTTATAATTATTTATGAATACACGGGAAGTTTGATGCACAGTGGTGTTTAGGGAAGAATATTGCAGATTAACATATTTCTTCCATTATATGTGTAGCTAGTTGGCTTGAGTTTTTTGGACTGGCATAATTTGAATGTTGTCATAAGTCACATGGTGACTTGTTCTTTTCTGATTGGCCAAGTGAAACTTTGCAAAGATGGTGCATACAATGAAAATACTAAATCAGATGTTTAGTATTTTGGAAAGATTAAGATACTATTTAGTCTATTCAGCATGATAAGCATCATACATTATGCACATTAAGCAGAAAAGTTGACAAAATGTGTTTGAGATAAAAAAAATGAGTTGTTACAGAGAAATACAATATTACTATCTGCATTTGTACAACTGCATTTCAATATTGATTTTTTTACTATTATTTCCATTTGTTTATCCCAAAGTATTCTTATTTTAGAATAAGTGTTTTAATCCTGTTTGGTTATCTCCACATAGATATGATTTTGTATGAGAAAAATCAGAATAGGATTTACCCAGTAATGCTATTAAAACACCACTTTTTGCAGATTTGTGTTTTAAGGTTTTTGCTTTTTCACACATTTTTAGTTAAATCCATTGTCCAATGCATGTAATACAGTTGTCCTTGTGTGAAATACATGAACTCTTCCTGTGTGTATTAGTCTTAACCGCCCCCCCGCCCCCCCAACTTCTGTTTGTCTGCTTTTCTAGCTGTCCTCCTAGTCAAATGCTCCTTTCTCAGTTTACTATATTTTTGCTGCTTTCAGCCATCTGGCCTTGCAGAATGCCTTGAGGAAGAGTTCCAGATAGCAAGATGCTTGAGAAGGCTTTTCTGACTAGTTATGTTCAGCTTGTGTTTTGTGCCTGGTGTGAAGTAAGGGTCAGGTGTAAGGACTATTTCATCAACCGCACACTGATTTCAGGCTGCATTTCAAACCATCTGCAGCTTGGATTGCTGCCAGGTCTCCAAAGTCTTGCTAGAGCTTAGAGTGCAGAAGTGGGGACAAATATGTGCAAATAGAGGAAAAGAAATACATTTATAGGAATGAAGTTGTATTTATTTAAGTCCTTGTTAGGGCTGATAAATTGTAATATTCTCCCTCTCCCTGACCCATCCATATCTTATGAGGCTCCCAGAATGGGGTCTTTTATTAAAATACAAGGATAACAATGGATTGACCTTTGATTGTAGTCAAGTATTTGGATTAATATCTATCCTGGGCACAGTGCCAGTTGTTTTGATATGGAATAGGAAAACCTGAGATGCTTTTCATTTAAAAACTGAGCAGTACAAACTTGTTATCTAATTTGTGCACATTCACTTTTTAAAACTTTATGTTGTTATTAAGGTCACAACACATTTAAATAAATGTGACTATAATGATGCTTCTTTCAGTTTGTTATTTCGATACCATCTTCAGTTCATGAGGAGATGAAATTTTGGGTTTTTAAATGACTCCTTCCTTATCTGCCTGCCATAAGGATGTGTCTTATTAAACATA